AGTAAATAATGACAGATCATTTTTGTGGCATGTGTTCCTTTAACATGCAACCATAACATTTTCTACACCCTTTAAGTTTTAAAATTTAAGCATCTATGTAGACCGTCTTTACCAGGTGCAGTCACTTTCAGTGTGCTCTCATTCCAATTCACAGGCTTCACTCTCACTCGCTGCTTATTCCCACTGAACTCCACCTCTGCATCTTTGCTGGCTATGTCCTCTTGCAGAAGAATGAAAATCTCCATTGGATTCTGTGAAGACACACAGCATGGCATTAGTCTAACCTATACACTGTGAAGAGCTCTAGGTCAGTTAGATGGCAGTGTTAAGCATTTGCTAACATAGAGTGCTCTTTGAATTCCGGCCCAGCTGTATGAACCTTATCTAATGCTTGAGTGGCAATTTAAAAGTACCTGCTCTATATGCCCCTGACAGACTATGAATGGATTGTAAGGAATATAAAAATGTCATATATACAATTCTGCTAATGCTATTTTATTGTGGTTGCCAGCTAAATGCCTAAAGGGATAGCAAATCTGCGTTCAGTGCCGCTGGTAACGCTACAATGCCACTGCTTTGGGGCGTGTCAAATTTAGGGCAGAGGATATGCCAGGGATATGTCCTTACCAATTGAGCCGCACTAGTCATCAAAAGTGAAGCCATTGCATTTCGATCTCCCCCAGGTGGCTGGTTCCAGAATAGGTTAAAAACCCCGCCCTCTGCATGTAATCCAGTGGGATGTGAGACAAACTAAATAATTAATTTTCACTTCAAATTTTTTGTTTCAAAGATGGTTTTTGTCATTTGATGCAGATTTTATCACGCTGATGTAAGTTCAAGTGTTCGTTTTTTAAATAAGTTTGGTTTTAGTTATGCGATGCTATAAAAACGGGAGTGTGACATCGTGATTGACAGCTGATACTGACAGCTTCTGAGGCACCAACAGACTTTTTCAGGATCTTCAGGAAGAGATTGGAGTTGTATTTACCCTATTTTAACACAAGATTCTTTTTTACGGCAATCAGCAGACAAAAATTGGAGCAGTCAGGCTAATTAAAAAGGGTCAGGGGTGTGTGTTTGTGATCGACTCTGTGGGAGTGTGGGCGAGACGTGGCTCCACTTCACTTACTGCTGCACAGACTCGGGTCCCAAGTTCGCTACTGCGCAGACTCTGGTCCCAAATTAGTGCAATATGGCCGTGCCCTATTGGGACAATGGCGGCTTCACGTTTCTTTAATGGAAGTTAGCGAAGGTGCGTTGTCCATCTTTTTTTACAGTCTATGGTCCCTACCAATATCCAGCAACTACCAAATTATCCCTAGCAATAATTTTGATCAAACTATTAAATATTGTATATACTGTATAGCCTATATGTTTTTGTAATTTCGAACGCATCTGAAATATTTCATACCATTGATATTAGTCACCTAAGAAGTTGAAGTAAATATGTTAGAATCTTTCAAGGACGCACATTTAATACATGATGGCCGGAATAAGAACCTGTCGCACACACCGGAGGAGAAGCCACGCCGCGTCTACAGCTCACACGTATTGCACCCAGTTCAAGACAGCAGTCCAAAACAGTTCATAGAAAAGTTCACTTCAGGAATGAACAAAGGCTGAATTAGTTTGAAGTACGGTGTTTGACAAAACAGAGCAAATGGAAAGAGAAAGCGCTATCTATGTCTATTATTAGCTCTCTATATAAAGCATACTGACATAAAAGACAAACGTTGTGCTGAAAGATGCACAACACACAATCTTCAAGCCTAGGATGAAGTCATTATGTACATTTACAATAATTTGGGACAAATATAATGTGATTTTATAGAAAACTTTGTGAGTGGCACTCTGTGGTGCGGCAGGATTTGGAACAGCGTCCAGAGTCGCAGCGGTTGTGGACAGTCTTTAAATTTAACTTTTTTTTTTTTTAACTGAATGTACAAAGCAAACTGTTTGCTGAAATATCACAAAAAAAAACACTGAAATAAGAGCGTGCAGTTTATCTGTCAATCAGATATGCATGAAAGTTTTGTTCATTACTATAGCAACAATAGAGCTTTCTTTTAAAAATCATCCTGGGTTCAACTCAAGTGATGCGTGATTAAGACACCCAGCATTCTGATGCTGCTGTAATGTTGTTGTTCACAAAATCAAAAGAGTGTAATTATTGTCTTTGCATACTAAAAAAATGCCGGTAGCACTTTGTTTTACAGTATGTGTACTTCCCTGGTACATACATGGCAAATATATTGTACCTACAAGCAAATGAGTGGTAACACAAGGTACTTACCTGAAGTGTATGTACATAGTAACAAATAAGAAACACATCTGTACTTAACAGTCGTACATGCGTGGTAATTATTTTGTACATACAGACAAGTGTGGGTACACTGTAAAAAATTGCTGTAAAATTTACAGTAACTTACTGGCAATTTTGGTTGCCAGTAAGACTGTAAATTTACAAAAGTACTGTAAATCAATAATTACAATTGTACTGTAAAAATACAGCAAACTGTTTTTTACAGCTATCACTGTAAAATTAAACGTTTATAAATATAAGTGAAATTACAAGAGCAACTGTGAACTTGTAATGCTATACATACATTTTACAGTAAATTAGAACATTTGTTGTGAAATTCAATTCACTAAATTAACTACAATTGAGATTTTTCACTGCTGTGATAGTGTGTAAACATTTGGTTAACTTATTTCATTTGAGTCCGCTGAGAAGGAATATTTCTTAGTATAAAACTGCAAACACTTAATGTGTAATAGTAAAGCTACTAAAAACATGACTTTAACTCAAATCGCTGCAGTTCATCATCAGCAATAGCACACATGTATGTGCTGAAGTACTTAACAAAGAGATCATCACTGCATCAACTCCACATTTATTGTCTTTAAATAAAACAGCAGAACATCAGTGTTTGTGGCTCATCTGAAGCACAGGCTCTACTCTCCAGCACAATGGTGACCCACAAAACTACATTAACAGATCTCTCTTGAGCAAAAACACATTAATACAGTTCAGTTAAATAATTACTCTCCTTATTAGGGCCGTGCACAGGGGGGTGGCCCGGTGGCTAGAGCCACTGCCCCTTTGCCCTCATCAGCTGAGTTGCCCCTCTCACCAATCCCCCCATCACCCCACCTTAAAGCGGTTTGTTCCCGCTCCGCTAAAGATCCGCTGATTCCGCTAATCCGCTCTGTGTTTTCCCGTCCGCTCCGCAGCATTTCTCATGATCTGTGTGCTGCTCTCTGGAGTGGAGACCACAGTTCCCAATGTCATTGCATGAACAGGTAGATGCATTACAATCCACATTATTGTCAGTGGATGATTCGCTGAATTAGTAATTTGGTAGTTTGTTTTTGTATTTCTGTTGGTAATGTTTTTCTCTCGGTCTTTTAAAAGTAATAACAAAATATCCACGTTCTTAGAATTAGAATGTCTAATCAAATTATTGTAACCAAACATTTCTAATATAAATAACACAAAATTCGCTGTGGTTGACACACTTTGTAGACAAAAAAAAATGCCTTCGCAAAAAAGAAGACAGAGACTGATAGAAAGAGCGAAGGGAGGCTGCTAAATGCAGTTCAACATTGCAAACATGAATACAAAGCTCCAGCAAGCAGGGGCGAAGATTACGCGGGGCATGCGGGTGACATGTCCGCCCCCTCACTTTTGATATCACGTAAATTCGTCCCCCGCACTTTTTCGGGCAAGTGTGTTCACATAGAGGTTTTCAAGAGCCGGTGTGAATAAATATATATTTAAATTCAAAGAGACAGGATAGTCTGTGCATGATCTGATGTTTTATTCGGACCCAGAATAAGGCGAGATGAACATCACGGAACGGCAGTTCAACATTGCAAACATGAATACAAAGCTCCAGCAAGCAGGGGCGAAGATTACGCGGGGCATGCGGGTGACATGTCCGCGCCCTCACTTTTGATATCACGTAAATTCGTCCCCCGCACTTTTTCGGGCAAGTGTGTTCACATAGAGGTTTTCAAGAGCCGGTGTGAATAAATATATATTTAAATTCAAAGAGACAGGATAGTCTGTGCATGATCTGATGTTTTATTCGGACCCAGAATAAGGCGAGATGAACATCACGGAACGCTAAACACTCCATGCAGTGTATGTTTCATTCATGCTCGGAGCCGGAGGTCGCTCTGGCACAGAAAGTCGTACAAGGAAATTCCTAATATGGACAAAAGTGTTCATATCGCTGTATGAAAACTATGAACAAAAATGTTCACAGAAAAACAGAAACGTTTGGAAACATGAAGACATTAAACATACGATTGCGACAATATATGGTTTATTTGTGTTTGTCAAGTCATCTCCAGGTAATAAATAAAGTATATGAATAATGCAGTGCCAATTGACTCCTTGACACGTTTGTGTGTGGTGGCTCTTGATGCCTTGACCCCAGCCTCAGTCCATTCCTTGTGAAGTTCACTCAAATTCTTGAATCGATTTTGCTTGACAATCCTCATAAGGTTCTCTCGGCTGTTTGTGCATCTTTTTCTTACACACTTTTTCCTTCCACTCAGCTTTCTGTTAACATGCTTGGATACAGCACTCTGTGAACAGCCAGCTTCTTTGGCAATGAATGTTTGTGGCTTACCCTCCTTGTGAAGGGTGTCAATGATTATCTTCTGGACAACTGTCAGATCAGCAGTCTTCCCCATGATTGTGTAGCCTAGTGAACCAAACTGAGAGACCATTTTGAAGGCTCAGGAAACCTTTGCAGGTGTTTTGAGTTTATTAGCTGATTGGCATGTCACCATATTCTAATTTGTTGAGATAGTGAATTGGTGGGTTTTGTTAAATGTGAGCCAAAATCATTACAATTAAAAGAACCAAAGACTTAAACTACTTCAGTCTGTGTGCATTGAATTTATTTAATACACAAGTTTCACAATTTGAGTTGAATTACTGAAATAAATTAACTTTTCCACAACATTCTAATTTATTGAGATGCACCTGTATATATACATATGTATAACATTTATGTCGCCCTCACTTCTGAAATGATGGCTACGCCCCTGCCACCAAGCCAGCAGGTAATCATCATATAGAATATTTAGCAGTTTGTCACACTTTTTTACAATTAAGTATATTTCCCATTATAATCACTTGTCTTGATACTAGTCTTGATACTAGTAACACATCATATTTTATTAAAACCATATTAACAGTAGGCCTATAAAATAATTAAAAAATAATATAAATGTT